TCTTTCTCTCCTTCCTTCCTTTTCCCGCTCCCATTTATTTCCTCTCAGACTCACACACATACCCCCAGGCACCAATTCATCATTTTCTCATCCCTCTTTTTTTTCTCTCTTGTTTCTACTTTGCTTTGCCTCTCCCACGCTGTTTTCTCCCAGTGGTCTTTTCTTTTTCTTCTTCCTCCCACTCATCCCCCCTCCCTTCTTCCATGTCCTCATTTCCATCCCTTCTTGCACTTTTTCTTTATGCATCTCTTTCTCTAGGGTCAGAGCCTGAATGTTGGCAGAGGCATTTTCCAGAGCCGAGCCTCCCCCCAAGCCTCCTTGCCCTCCCTCTGCTCCCACAGCTGGTCACGGAGCCAAGGAATAGAGGCAGTGGTACACGGAGCAGCCTGGGGCTGATGGGGTCTGCCTAATTGGCTCTGAGATCTTACTCAGTGCTCCTGACAGACATGGGCAGATTCCCTCCACTGTACCTACCACCTCCCTCTGCTCCCCAACAACCACTCCTGTCATTTCTAAGACACTGCCAGCAGCTGCTATCTGGCTATATTTGGTCCAGTTGAAAGTTCAGGAGACTGCTCCTGGCAGAAGAAGCAAGCTTTTGGTTATAGGGTCTCATTTTGGTGGACAGCATGTGGTTGTATGTTGTCCACTCCCACCAGCACCAGCCTTTGCCTCCTGTGAACCCCTTCTCCTGTTTCCCTGACAGAGGGAGAGTAATTTCTCTGGCATTCGGTGGGTTAGTGTTCCACCCTCCCTGTCCCCAGACTAGGAGGGAAGGGAGCAGTAGAGGACTGGGTGGGGAGGGCATCCCCACCCTGAGATGCCTTTTCAGTTGCCAGCTGTTTGTAAGGGGTCCTCCCACTGGGGAAACAAGAGGCATGGACCTCCTGAGGGGTTGCAGGGGGGTTCTGTGCCTGGGAAACTGGCATCTGGGATAGAGGAATTTACAGACTTCTGTTTACCAAAACGAGGGCCAGTAAAAGTTTTAACAACAGCCAATTAAAAGAGAACAGCTGCAGTGATTTAACCAATCTGTCCCTTCCCCTGGCTTTGGGTAGCAGAGAAGCAGTAACCTCCCATCACCACTACTTCCACCCTTGCCCCTCCCAATCCTCCATCCCGGTTTTCCCCACCCTCTCAGCTTCTCTCAAAAATGTTTTCCAGCAGCTGAGGTTAATCTAACAAACATCTGTTCCAGATGTGCCTCAGCACAAACCAGACAGAGGCCAAGTCTATCCACTCCTCTCAGACTTTGCATCTGTGTCCTCATGGAGGAAGGCGGCAGCATTGGGGATCAGGCATGGTCCCTTTGTCCTTTCTCTGAGTTGGTAACGTCCACCCTTCTTCTGAGATGAGGGCAACCCTGGGCCCACCACAAGACTTACAGACCAACCATTTTTCCAATGCTCATGACTGGATAGGCAAGGATGAGGAGCTTTTCTGGGGGCTGCATGAAGAATTGCCATAAGGCATGGGACTAGGGGTCCACCCAGACAAGTAGTTGGGGGCAGAAGGATAACAGAGGTGTTAAGGAGGCTTCTTTATTTAGATTTTCTGTTGTTAAAGACCGGGGACTGTAAAGTCTCTCCCCTAGCCACCTAATACACTTCTGCTCTAAGTCTCAGCAAAAGGCCAAAGATTCAACCCTGGGGTTTTACTCTCTAAACTGAGACTAGAACATCCCCCATTAATAACAATAATAACAGCTGACATTTATATAGAGCTTACTATGTTCCAGGCATTGAGCTACGTGCTTTATAGTTATTATCTCATTTGATCCTCACAACAGCCCTGGGTGGTAAGTGCTATTAAGACCCATTTTATAGTTGAGGAAACTGAGGCAGACAGAGGTTAAGTAAGTGACTTGCCCAAGGTCACACAGCTAGTAAGTGTATGAGGTCAGACTTGAACTAAGATCTTCTTTATTCCAAGCCCCATGCTCTATCCACTGCACCACCTAGCTGCCATTAGAGACTTGAACAGTTTCCACTAAGAATTTTGCCACCAAAGGCAAACCAACCCCATGCCTCAACAGATTCTAAAAATCACACTAGGAATGGGCAGAGTTTAAGGGGTAGATGCCAAGATTGGGTACCTCCCGACTGGGAAGTCTGACTTACAGCTCTGCATCCCACTTCTAGTTTGTAACTATTGATTCAGGGGAACCTTGGCCCTGGTACATCTATCTGTCAGCCCTATCCCTCTTCAGGTCCCTACAACCTTTCCTCCTGTGCAAGGCCTCTCTCTTGGAAGTTATTGAGGTTCAGAAATGAGATCGCCATTAGATGAGAAGCTGTTTAGGTGAAATGGGAGCATCTTTGAATAAGGATGAGGGTGCTTGTGTCAGGGTGCCAGGAGCTCCTATATGCTAGTTGGGTTCCCCCCCCCATGCCTGCACTATAGCCCAGGCTTCTAACTTCAACCAAGTCCTGTTGCTCAGCCCCAGGTCAGGCAAGCATGTTGGGTCATATCTAGGGATCGTCCAAGGCTTCTGGGATGCTTCTAGGAGTCTCTGGTTCCTCTGGAGCCTGCCCGGCAGGAGTCCAGGTGCTGTTCCATACCCACGGATCTCCTTAACACAAGCAGGATGACAGCAAACAGGCCAGACTTTATAGGGCCAGGCTGTTTGGTTCAAGCTCTTGATGCTCCCTTCACTTCACCTCCACCTTGTCTCCTCCTTGAGAAAGCAAAAACAGAGTCTAGTTTCTCCCCCCCCCCCCAAAAGAGTCCATAGGCTTCAGGGAGGAGGGTTGGGAATTGTCTTATGAGGTCAATGAATCTGGTCTCAGGGCCTGAGGGAAGAAGACAGAAAGGCTGAAGGGGGAAAAGTTATTTGCTAGTGATTTAAAAAAAGAAAAACATCCCATTCTAGTCAGGGTCATCCCACCAAAGTAGGGTATCCTACTCTCTCCACCTCCAAAAGAGAATTGTCCTAACGTAGAAAATAAATTTATTTCTTGGCCACTCATTGGGTAGAAGCTGGAGGTAGCAAGGACGATGACTTTCAGCTTTATGCATCATTTCCTTAGGGGAGAGCTGCCTGTGGATATAAACTGAGGAATTAGAGACTCCATGTTTGTTATGGCAGCTGCAAAGTAGGGGAGTGGGGTCAGGATGGGGTGGGGTCGGGGGGTCTGTGGGAGAAGCAGGCTGAGGAATACATGTCCCTGACACTTGGGTTGAGCTGATTTTAACTTGGAACCCTATCACCACAGCCAAAGCCTTTCTCTTTATCTCCATGGGGGGGCCACCTTGCTTCTCCAGTTCTAATGAGCTGAGGCCTGGTGGGGGAAAAAAATTCTGACCACTTGGAAGAATCCTACACTTGATGCCAGGCCATGAGTTCAAGGTTTTCATCTCCAAACACACCCATCCCTGTCCTTTTGCCTTAGTGGGCTAGTGGTAGGAGACTCAAGATCGTTTTAACCATTCTACCTTTTATCAGTCACCTCTGCTTTCTGAGCCTAGGCCTCATCCTGTTAGGCAGAGAGAATCATGGGAGGGTCAGAAAAAAAAGACTAGGCTTGAAAACAGACCAGGACCCCTTCCCCTCTCCTTCTACCCCAGCATCAAGGAAGGAAAGAGTCTTCCCAGCCATGGAGGGCAGCGGGGCATGCTTGACCATTAAGCTTAGCTTTGGAACTGAGGAGCGTGGGAAGATGCAGGTTTCGAAGTCTACAGGGTGCCTTTGGAACCTTGACTCCCTCAGAGGAAGAGTTAGATCAAAAGAAAGACTTTGCCTGGTTGGGAGAATGACACTTATGTTATTTTGCATGAATTTATGTGGTGATTGAATGGGTAGTATGTACCTATTGAGGAATAATTTACTTTGTCTATGTAATTTTAGGGACTTCATAAAACTTCAAGACATATCTGCCTCCTGCCCATGCTTCTCACGAAGCTACCCTATCCTCATGTGGCTTGCCTGTATGTCCCCAGTAGAATGTAATCTCTTGGAGGGCAGGGACTTGTTTTGTTTTTATATCCCCAGCACCTAACAATAGTGCCATATACATAGATGATGCTGAATATGTACTTGTTGGATTGTATTGGATTAGACTGGGATTGAATAAGATCCTTGGGATACTTCTGAGCAGGTCTATGCAGGGGTACTCCTGAGGTGGTGGTGGTGAGGTTTGATTCTCATTTCCTACCCTTCCATCAGTTAGCCACTTTGTCAAATAGGGATAAGTATCACTGTTATTCCTATAACACTAGAGTGGTCCTGAGGCTCAAATGAAGTCATGTATGCAACATGCCTTTCAAATTGTAAACTACTAAAATATTAGTTATTATTATCCCTTCTGGTTCTCAGCCCCCTTGCTAAGAGTAGGAGGCATTTTCCAACTGACTTATCAAGGGATCAGGAGAAATCTTAAAAAATACAATTTAAAAGCTCTGCGCCCTACACTCTGCCACCAGGTCCTGGGCCACACTGTCTACACTGCCCTTCCAACAATTAGAAAAAGCCTTCCTTGTGCCCAAGGCTACCTCTCACTGAGAGAGCCAGAACTCCAGGCAGGGGGAACTTGGAGCTATGCCCTTTTTCTTCCTGATCAGCTAGAAAAAGCAGCTCAGGCCGCCCCCTCCCCAGTCCAATGGGGTGATCCATTGCCATTCATCTCTCCCGTTACTTCTCCTGAGAGGTTTCTCAAAAACTCCTCTCTTGCTGCAATCCTTCTGAGCACTTCTCACCATGGTGGCTGTGGTCGTGAAAGGAAAATCAAAGTGGGTCCCCTCCCCTCCTTCCTTCCCCTCTCCACTCCCTCCATCCCATCAGCAATTCAATTTGTACAGCACCGGAGGGATGGTATTAGTCAAGTCAGAGTTAATATGATGTATTGATGGTTTGATTTCCCACTGGTGTGCTATATGGAGTTCTATAGGGTATCTATACAGAGCCGGACAGTATCTTACCACCTTGGTGTCTGGGCCGGGGCTGAAAGGCTCCCAGGGGGCCCATGGTTCTGCCTCTCTAGCCTGTTTCTCTGTTTCTCTAGCTCCAGGGTACCCCAGATTTTCGGGGAGCCTGGCATCTACCTTCCTTCCCATGAGCCACTTAGATCACCATGGAAACAGCAACGTTCTCTACGGGCAACACCGTTTCTATGAAACCCAAAAAGGCAAGTACCAGCGGCAATGGGATCTAGCTATAGCTAGCATTGCCATAGGAGCGGGTGGGAAATGTTGAAGAGAGAAGCTTTTGGTGCCCCAGTAGGAGAAGGTGACACAGCCTTGACATTCCCCGGGGGGGGGGGGGGGGGGGGGGGAGGGGGGGGGAGGAAAGAGATAAGGTGGAGGGAGATCTATGATTGAATAAACCAAATCCTGACAAAATGGAGTGGTTTGTGGTGTAAAGCCTTCTGGAAGAGTGGGGTACTCTCTTGAGACATTAAAGGAGCTGGTCAGGAGGAGACATTAAACTGCCTAATGAAGGAAACACTCATGGTCCAGAAGATTTGGTTTGCCCACCAGCATTTATTAAACACTTACTATGTGCCAAACACTGTGCTAATGGCTGAAGATACAAAGAAAGGAAAAATAGACCCTGTCCTCAAGGAACTGGCATTCTGATGGGCCAGACTAGAGGCCCACTTCTCCTGAGAGGTTTCTCAAAAACTCCTCTCTTGCTGCCATGGGGGGAGACTAGAGGCAAATAACTAAGTACATACAAGACAGATCCTAAGTAAATGGTGACAATCTTAGAAGAGAAGGCCCAGGTGTGAGTTAAGAGCTGGGGAATGGGGCAGGGGGATAAGGGAGGGAAAGCAAGAGGAGAAAACCCAGGACTCCGGCCCTGCCCCAGCCTGAATCTTCAGTGCCCTTCAATCTCTCCTCCTGCTCCCCTAGGGGTTACAGGGCCTTGCCCCAACAGTTCAGAAAAAAAGATGCTGGACTTTGTATTTATTGCCTCTGAAGTCCAGACCAGAGCACTCCAGAAATCTCTGTTTCTAGTCTTTGGAGAAGACCAGGAGCTGACTTGCCCTCATTTCTCTCGAAGGTGGTGCTCTCTGCCACTGAGGAGTAGCCCAATACTTGGGAGTCTTTCCACAATCCAATGAGACCAGCTTAGCTTCTCCTCTTCCCATTCCTGTCACCTGTGACCCCTCTAGAGGGCCGTGGGACATATGCCCAGTGGTCTTGCGCTTTTCTGTCTCTGAGTGGGGTGAGGGGGAAAAAAAACTCTGGGGGCCTGGCATCCTAGAGATTCCCTGGGCATGCTTTGAAGGAGGTTGCTATTGTACTCTGCCGTCAGGAGAGAGAGAGAGAGAGTGCCCCCCTACTTGTCATGTGTATATTTGTGTGGGGGGGGGTGTGGGTGTGTGGGTGTGTGGGATTCCTCCCCCACCACCCTAAATTAATCTCCATCCCAGCAGAGCTATTTTGACAGCATTTGTCACAAGCAGGCAGGTGGCTTGTCCCAGGCCCAAGAAACCTGACCCCTCCCTCCCTTGCAAACCAGAGCCCCTGGGGAGCTCCTGGGGTGCTGCCTCTGGCAGGCAGGTTTCAACAGGAGGCTGCCTAGTGGGCCTCTCAGCTTTCATAATATTGTGTCGGGAGCCTAATCCAAGAACATTATTTGGTTTTGGAAATTGAGCTAATTAGGTTTCACCCCTCCCTCTATCCCCACCCCCCTCCTTCTTCCACTCTCCCCCTTGTTTTTAATTAGCAGGAAATTGACAGAGGAATTTACATGACTGAGGACAGTTTTACAAGTTCCAAATGTTTCTTTTGTTTCACCCTCGGACCAGTAGTCTTTCAGCTCTCAGCCCTCAGCTTCCAGCCGGTGCTGGCCTGGCCAGGCAACCCTAACACTAGGCACTTGGGGCAACCCCAGTGAGGGAAAGTTGGGGTCCTCCCTCCTCCAGTATTCCTCAGTGGCCTCCAGAGTTTCAAGGCGTGTTTCCACTTGGGGGCATTAGGGGCAGGTCAGAAGGCCGCATCTTTTCCGCGGCAGAGAAGAGGGACAATTGCCAGGGGGGATGAGGTTCTAGTGGGGATTCCCTCTACCTGCGGGCCTATTCCTCTCTGGGTCATGGGCTGTCAGGCTGGGGCTCCATAGGGATGGGCTTCTCAGTCTGGCAGACAAGAAACAGAGGCGGGAGAAGCAAACAGGGCTACCAAGGGAAGCTTGAGACTCAGGTAGAAACAATCCCCC